ATTGTAAATTATTGGTTTTCTTAAGATAAAATATTTAATGAGTGGCAATAGAATTGATTTAATTTAAATTTATAATTCTATATGAGAGTAAAGATTATTTTTTATAATATAATTTCAAATTAATTTACATCTATTATAAATATCAAATATTTTGTTCATGTATATTTAATATATGAATTCAAAATAATGATATATATCTAATTTAGAGAAAGAGTTAGTAGATTTCAAATAAGGAGACACCATTTATTTAATAAAAATATATATATTTATATGAGTCTAATAAAATATTATTATTAAAATAAAATCTAATGCAAGAGTTAGGTAAATAACAAAAAATGGTAATTGGAATGGTTGGATTACCAGCAAGAGGTAAGACTTACATTTCAAGGAAGATTTGCAGATATTTGAATTGGATGGGTTTCAAGAGTAAAGTTTTTAATATTGGAAATTACAGAAGATAAATATGTGGAACAGATTGCAACTCAAATTTCTTTGATCCAGGCAATAAAGATGTAAGAGATTATTGTTAAATAAAGGCATCAAAAGCAAGAGATGAATGTGCTTTATTGGCTTTGAATGATATGATAAATTACCTCAGGAATGAAGGAGATGTGAGTTTGTATGATGGGACAAATACAACAAAGTAAAGAAGAAAATTAATAATGGAGACATTATAATAAAAGTTTAGTGAAGTATAAGTATTTTGGGTAGAATCAATATGCAATGATGAAGATGTAATTTTGAGAAATATTTAATTAACAAAATTAAATAATCCTGATTATGTAGGGAAATCATCAGAAGAAGCTACTCAAGATTTTCAATAGAGAATTGAATAATATACTAAAGTTTATGAACCAATTGATATGGATGAGAATATATCATTTATAAAGATTATTGATATAGGAAATGATGTAAAGCATAATAAAATTAATTTAGATTATGATTTATAATATCTAAGGATTTTTATAATCTAAATTAGTATCATATTTGATGAATTTGCATATATATCCTAGACCAATATATTTGTCTAGACATGGAGAAAGTTAATATAATGTTGTTCATAAAGTAGGAGGTGATTCTGATTTAACTTAAACAGGTTTAATGTATGCAAAATAATTGGGCAAATATTTTGTTTAAGAATTAGAAGGAAATAGAAATATTAAAATGTT